TATAGGGTGTCCGTTAAAAAGAAATTTCATTGCATTCTTTCTTCTATTTTTCTCCATATTTTATACATCCATTATTTGAGTTTTTATGTGAAATGACCACAAAATTCTTTGGTATCAAAAAGCGTGCTTCATCATCATATGATAAGAGAAGATTCATCTCTGGTGAGGCCAAGTCAAGGTATGGAGCATTGGTGGTAAACAAGAAATTAATCCCTAAGCATGGTTCTCAAAACCAAAGAAGGAAAGTAATGCAATTGATACTGAATCGAGATTGGGAACTTTTCTATAAGGAACCTCTTGCTGTATTATCAATGTGTAAGAGAAATTTTTGCAAATGGGATGATGTTTTCATTTAATGCACAGAGTGGCCATATGTGTAATTAATATCAAGTGTAATGTAAAGCCTATGAATACAAAAGAAGGCACAACCAAGTATGTTGGATTGGTATGATGCAAGCATAGACAGTACTTGCATTGTATCAAATTTATAGAGATGAATTATCATGAGATGTTTTTAATAATACATGTTTTACTTACTTTTTTTAAGATTTTTATATGGTGACAAACTATGGGAGTTTAGAGTGGTATTAAGGTTAGAAGGGTTTATTATGTCCTTTATATCCTCACGCTTAATTGAGCGGTTGGTGATGTACATACTCTGAATAGCATCATTATAAAAGAAAATCATTAGGAAACATGTTGTATTTATATTCCATCAATCTAAAACTATTTATCCAAATAGTGTTACATTTAATTATTTTTTTATTTTAAATTCAATGATTGAATCTCCATCAATACTTGTTTTAATTGAATAAAATAATTATTGTAGTTGAAGTATACGGTATTAGTATTTACAAGTAAAATTATTTCTCATGGAATTGATACTCTATTATATCACTATATTACTTGATTTGACACACATACTTTCATATATTAAGTGAGATTTTATAATTTTTATATCAAAAAAAAAATTAAGCATTATTTAGATATTGATAAAGCCCCTAAATTATTTAAGTTACTCCATCGCCCCATTCAATAATCCTTTAACCCCTCTTGATTTAATTCTAATAGTAAAAACCATCACTTACAATACCGAGGAAGCATAATGGAGTTCATAAATAAAAAAAAATGATTTGCACAAACAAGTCCAAGAGAAAACTGCCAAGCAGAATGCTAAGTATCAAGCACAGTCTAATCAACACAAGAAATTAGTTAAATTCAAGGAAGGATTCTCGTCTGGAATTTCTTGATGGACGGAACAATGTCCTCCAAGGCCATTTGAAATGCTTAAACCAAAAGTCGACAACCCCTTTTGAGTTATTCAAAATATAAATGATACATTACATGAATAGCCAAAAGGTTTTGCATCACTTTCAATGGACATATGTCCGCCAAACATATCATTAGATAAATCGAGAAGTTTTTTGTCAAAAATATTCAAGCAAACTTATCGCCGGTAAGTTTTCAGTGGCTAATCCATAGGCGGGCGCTAGTAATTTTTTGACGACAAAATTTATCAATGAAATTGCATCATAAACTTTCTGGAGAAACTTCTAGCATAATATATGCCAGGTTACTTAAACCAGAGGATTTATTTCTAGCAGAAACTCCATAAAATTTTTTGTCTGACAAAGCCCTATTTCCATCCATTTGTGCTCGCCCGCCCGTATTTTTTCCTTTCCCTTGTATTTCCTCTCTTGCTCCCATTTGTCGCTATCGTTCTCCTGTGTTGCCACTCATGGTTTGACGCCCATGTTCATGTTATCCGCCAGCTTGTCATGTTATATATAACAGTTCCCCATCGTTCATCGCCTTATCATGGTGTATCCATTCGTCGTCTCGTCTACTACAACCCATTATTAATTTCAAGGTTTTCATCATAGTCCTATCTTAGCTCTAGAAAATTTCTTTCTCACTAATATGATTCTTGTAGTTCTTATTTATAATGGTTCTCTGATGGCTTGTATAATTTTGGTTCTTGTAGTGAAAATGTTCCGTTTATCACTATTTTCTTAACAATTTTGCATTTGCAAGTTCATGGATTTTATCAAAAGAATGGGGTTATAGAATATAAAACAACACCTTGATGTGCTAGGTTTAAATTTATGCAAGTTAAAAAAATTAAAAATGGAGATATAGATAACAATTTAACATGTATAATTAAGTGTAGGTGTTTGAAATATAAAAGTTCCTTAGAAGTATTATGTGATAGAAGAGTGTCATGGAAACTTATATATAATTTTATAATGTTGTAATTCGGTCAACGATGCTATATGATTTTGAGTGCTGAGCAATAAAAACTATGTAGATGAATAAATTGAGCATAATATAAATGAGAATGTCAAGATAGATATTTGGAAAAATTAGGAAGGATATATTAAGAAATGCTTAGATTCAAGGAAAGATTGGATTTATGCTGCTTTTAATGACATACTATGCATGCGTAGGATAAATTCTTAGTATTATGGATATTAAGAATCATAGAAGTTGGATATATAACTGTTTGATGTAAGGATGAAAGATATTAACAAATGAGTTTATTAATGGGATGAATTTTTCCATCCACATAGCCTGTCAACTGCTTAGCTTTCTCTCAAATGGAAGGGTTCATTGTCTATATCCTAAACGTAATGATGAAGTGAACCTCACATAAGATGAGGTAATTAATGATCTATATCGCAGAGGATTCATGCATGATTATCGGTATGAGAGTTCTCATGGTGAGTATGAGCCATATTTCAATTCTCGATGTGGCCCGTTTATAAGTTCTAATATAGATGAGGAAAAAATATCCGCACACTAGAGGATTTGGTTTATGATGTAAATAGGACACTATTTGAATAATATACATTAGAGTACCAAATAAGGAGGCACATTACCTCTTTGATTTGTTACATGCTGCTCAGTAACCAATTTGGAAGGGATGCACCACTCACTCAATGTTATATATTATTGTGAAAATGTTAAGCATCAAGACATAATTCAAGTATATATGATATCTCCACCAAACTTAACTTCATAATGAGGTCAATATTACTTTAGACAATTAGTGACTTTCATATATATGGTATAATTTTAGGTTAAAACACTTCTCGGAAGTTAGCTTTTTCTTATTGCAAGAAATTTACTAAGTTAGTCACTTTGAAGCATGGAGGCATTAACACATGGTGGAAATGAAAAACTTCTAAAACTAAAAGCATCATTCAACTCGACTTTAGAGCAAAGACGAGCAGTTTGTGAATGGGTGCAGATTCTAAAGATACTTGATGGATATTCTTCCAGTCTTAGTAGATGCGTGGACATGAGATTGGGGAAATTATTTGGATTGAAAAATTATGATTATCATATCTTCATGCAATGTCTACTACCAATTGTCTTCATTTTTTTTCCAAATATAACTTAAAAGCCTTTGATCGAGCTAAGCATCGTTTTTAAGGATTTATGCTCCTCAAAACTAAATGCATAGCACTTGATTAATATGGAGAATAATATTCCTATTACTCAGTGACTATGATACGACTGTAACTATGATATAATGAATGTTATAGCATTTTTACAATAACTTCTCGCCGGAACTTTCGACAGATACTCCGTTGGTGCTACCCGTTGGTTATCTCGGCAAAAATAACCGGCGGCCTAACCGCCAATATTTCCGGCATAAATTCCTCCCGAAAAAAAGGATATGGAACCGTCATTTTTTGAGACAATATTTCCACCAGAAAAACACTGGTAAATCCACTAGAAATATTTTTGTCGGTCTAATTTCCATCAAAAAAGTGTTTCAGATGCTCATTTTATATTTGACCCATTTTTTGTTGGAAATCCATTGGAAATTCAATATTTGTGATGGAAAGCATTCCCTTTTCAATGGCTTTCATTTTTGACAGCTTTTTTCTGTCGGAAATACCAATTTTCCCTGCAGTAATAATGCTTATCAAATCGACCTTCTTGGTGATTACAATGTCTCTGTTGTATTCGATGTAGCAGATTTAACTCCTCACTATGACCTTGTTGTTTCCCCCACCCTAGTAGAATGACGACGAAGGTTTTATTTATTGGAGTTTGTTGGTTGTGTAGTTGCTAGTCTATATTTGGTGTAGCCGTTTTGTAACCAAACTTTTGTATAAATAGGTGCAATTACTCTTGTAATTTTGAGAATTGAATAAAGAATTTAGTTTCGGCATTCAACTCTTGTTTTTTGCATCATGAATGTTGCTTAGGTGGTGAGATAGAGGGTGAGTGTAAGAAACTTGGTCGTCTGTAGCTGGAGTATCTGCTCAAGCTAGAGTTGGGCTAATTCGCTACAGGTGGCCTGTCCAGTCGTATAACAGCCCCCGTGGGTTCATCCACGCAAGGGATCGATCTTGCGAGGGACGTTCTGTATCAATATACATAAACCGTTGAATGCATGGTCAATCAATTATCAGAAAGGGACTTGATTGATTGCTTATAGATATAAACCCTAAAGCTTAGAAAATTAGAATTTTTCTTACTCTCATTTTATGTGTAAAAAAATGAAATCGTCGCATTTGAGATACATTGAAGGTATTCGTACTTAGAACTACTTTCCAACTAAATGAATAAAATATAGGAAGTCGCCATTTCCAACTTTCTCTTATGTTAAAAATGTTTTAGAAAATGATAATTTCATTTTCACTCATTACATGTGTTAAAATGAAATTATATATAACATTTTAGATATTCTGAAAGTGTTCTTTGAGTTTAAAACTAACATTGATTTCTGGCTAAATCCAACCAAATGACAATCCAATAAATTCACCCATTCTCAAATTAAATGTCTTTTCTGGTTTTACGGAACCAAATTAATGGGCCCGTTGATGAACATCAAATAATCCTCTTAGCATAGATAAATTGAGGATTATGTCTTCATTCTATTTTCACTTATCCCAGGCTACCACATCTTAATAATTGAAGTAGTAAAGGTAAGAACATAGCTTAAACATACTAGTCTAGTGAAGCAACAATCACTTAAATCATACCTTAAAGATCTCTGAGCCAGTGTGAGCATCGACAGCACTGAAGACATCGTCAAGGAGGTATATATCGGAATCTTGATAAAGTGCCCTAGCTAGTTGTATACGTTGCTTTTGGCCGCCGCTAAGATTAATTCCTCTCTCTCCAATCTCAGTCAAATCCCCAAACTCCATCATCTCCAAGTCCTTCTCTAAACAACAAACACGGATCACTTCCTTGTATTTGTACTGATTTAAGGGCTGACCAAACAAAATATTTTCCTGTATAGTTCCATTCTGTATCCATGCTGTCTGTGCCACATAAGCTGTGCTTCCACATACCCTGACCTGAGATATAGAGAGAGCATGCAAGAAGAGGTGGTCATATCCCAACATGAGGGAGATAATTTATGATTTTGATGAAAAGAAAATAAGAAAACAGCATGGAGAAGTAGTTCGGACTGCTTCAACACCAATTATGAAACCGAAAGAATCAGAAAAATATATGGCTTTTTTTAAAAGGGAAAAAAGTTCTTATCCTTATGTGAACGTGCTTCGCGATATATAGGGTATTTTTTTTTTAACACAACTACCAAAAAAACAGATTTACACAATTTGGCGGGCTTGCTAGAAGGAATCAAAAAGCCTAAGTAAACAAATTATTAGTTTAAAAAATTAACGGTATTAAAAGCTACATTAAAAAAAAGCAGTAAAAAGACGGTTCCAAACGAAGCATAAATCAGACCATGCTAAAAAATCATGAACAGTTCTTAAACAAATTTTTTTGGGAAACTTTTAATAAGTGGTTTCAATCTTAAGCTTTATACTATTTAAATTAAAAGAATAATTTAATTACTGAGAAAAGTGCTTAAAAAATTCCAACTTTGCACAGACACAACTCCTAATTTGCATGATAATTTAATAATATTATTTCACGCTCAATAGTTATGTTAACATCTGCATAACTTTATATATATATATATATATATATATATAAAGTATCATTACCTCAAAGAAAAAAACAAAGTATTATGTTGGGTTCGTTAGACTTCGAATATTGTGCTGTGAGACGATGTTTTATAGGAATTAAGTAATATTTTATATTTTCGTAGCATGTCATATGTTTCAGTAAAATAAAATGTATTCTGTATGGTAAATTGTCTTCTTTTTTCTTTGTAGATGTCACCTATTTAATATCCATGTTTACTATTACGACACATGTAATGCGTTAAGTTAAGCCCGCACCCTCCCCCCTCTTTTGGAGAAATTATTGCGTGCGGAATTCGAATGCATTCGGATTCTAATCATCATACACCACATCATTGAATGCACTGGGCCCCATACTGCATCCGGTGACGTGGCATGCACGCGATGATTTCGGATTCCGCACACAATAATTTCTCCTTTTGGAGAAGATGCGTCTTTTTGTTAAGAGGTACTAGCACATTTTTTCCCAACTGGATCAAACAAAGCCTGATTTTCTAGATAAAAGCCCATAATCCTAAAGAAGACACCCACTCATTAAAAAAACTAATGAAAATGCTTCGTTTAGTCGAGATAAGCTAAATGTTTCCGCCGTCTGGCGTCTTTCATAGAGTGATTATGCTCTATATCATTCTGGCGAGTATGGAAACCTGAAACTACCGTACCTTAAAACGTTTTCAGCTGGAGAAATTGACAAACCGATTTTCCATAGAAGAAACAAGCGTACAGCTCAAGAGAAATATGACATCCGTTTAAAAAGGACACAAAATCCATTCCTTACTCATATCTTGCCTTTTTCTCCATATATCAATCCTTGGAGATGTTTTGTTGCAAGTTGGATTTAGACGTAAGATTTAGTAAATTCGATTTTAATAAATTCTATATGGGTCAATCCCCAAAAATTTGATATATATAATTGATGTTGAATATTATAAAATTCAAATAAATTATTTGATTACTTTATGATTTAAAAATTTATCTAGCTTTGATATATATATATATATATATATATATATATATTGTTTTTTTAACTTATGCAATATAAATCTTACCTAAATTAATTAAAACATAATTATCATAAGATAGCATTTTAATTAATAATTTAATAAGCTAATTAAACAATAACTTCTTTAGTCAAATTATATAAAAAATTTTACTTAAGTTAATATTTGTTCAATTAATTAATATCAATTATTATGACTGTATAATTTTTTAATAAAATATCATATCTAATTTGCTAGATTTAATATTCGTAATTTATCATCACTTCTTATTTAAATAATTAAATTATAATTAGAATAAAATAACATGTTAATTAATCACTAATTAGCCATTTATAAGAGTGATTAATTCTTAAAGCATCTATTTAATCAAATTAAATTATAAATAATATTAATTTATGTAACATAATATCATTTTAGTTAATTGATATTAAATATTCTAATTGATTTTTAAATTTTGCAATTAATTATAAACTAATATCTCCTACATAATCCAAATAAACATATCTCTCCTACCTGATCCAAGAAAAAATTTACTTAGGCATATCACTAGTAAAGAATCAGACTTTCGCAGCTTTTTGATACACCATACAACTTGTCATAACCCAGAGCTCCGAGAAGCGATCAGCGACAGACTCAATATAGCGGCTCATTAGATTGGCGTTCAATCCCACAATAGCTCATGGGAATGCATCGCAAACAAACTCGCTCTCAATATCTACAACTTCCGCAAAAAAAAACTCTAGAACCCTTTTAAAATCTTGTTGATCAAAAGCTATATAAAAGGAATGTGAACAAAGGGTAGGAGTGGAGCTTGCGTGAGAGAAGGACGAACGGGCCTGTGGATCATTGGCCGAGAGGAGAGATCGGGATCGGCTAGGGCATCAAACAGGGCCAATAAAGGGGAATCAGGATAGCGCGCGGGAGGCAGTAGGTTTTAGGTTTTTAGCATTGTTTCAATTACATCATATTGTAGCGATATTCAAAACCGCCAATATTAAAAGGCTGCGAAAAATATAAATTTTTAGCAGTGTACCTAATATTCGAAATCCTTGCCTTTCTCCCCTTTTGGCTCCTACCCAAAACCCTTAATAACAACAATCGCGGAACTTGTGCAAGATATCACTAGTAAAAACATTGATGAGATCATCACATGTAAAAAATAAGAGGAGATCATGAGATGTGCAAATTTAAGTTCGATCTGCCTAATGCTTAGACTAAATAAAGCCAGGATTTAAGGAGAAAAGAGTTAAAATTGAATTTAGAAAACTGTAGAAATTGAAATGACTTTTTCTACCTTTTTTTTCTACTATTTGACAAGATTTAACTTAAATCTTAGATAAATCCTGCTGAAATGCTGCTACGAAAAAGCCCAAAGAGTTGCATCATCACAACAACTAGCTAGCAGGAATCACCAACAACAGTATGAATATTACGTCACCAAGTTGGGCAGAATGATCAGCATGTTCATGTTATGTTCATTAAATAAGCCATACGCAGCTCTCCTTATTATGTTTGAAAGCTTTGATTATCAATTAAGAATTCTTTATTAATTAGTTAAGAATTAAGCTTTGAAATTAAGAATTCAGCTTTGAAATACGCAGCTCTCTTTGATTATCAATTAAGAATTAAGCTTTGAAAGTGGATAGATACTTGAAGTTGAAGCAAATTATCAAAAGGTTTGGAGTAATGCTATCATAGAGTCATGACTTTGGAAGTTCGAAAAAGCTTATGGAATATCTATCTATGATATTCTTAAGTGATTTTTGGTATTCTTTGTTAAAATGTATTTTCCTGTTTAGCTTTTGTTGCTTCTTTTTTCTTCAAGTTTGTTCTTTTAGACTTCTTCTATTTGATTATGGGATCATTACTGACTCTTATTCTCTAACTGGATGGGAACTCTGGGATACTAATCAACCATCGAGTTGTTTAATTTTTTGGTATCCCCTACTTCTCAACAGTTTCAAAATAGGAAATAGTGGGTTTCATATCATTTATAATAAGTTTAAATTAACAAATTTATGTTCAATAAGGTCCTTTTTTTACATTAAAAAAGGAACCATTAGTTTCTTTTACCTAGTTTGTATTAGGTTGTCTTTTCTTTTTTAATCAATGCAATTTTGCATTTTCTCCAAAAAAAAAAAATTAAGAATCCATTTGAATCTTACTAATTGTGTCATGTGTGTGTTTGCCTATATTCATTGAATTGTAAATCTGCCATTTTCTCACATTTTAAATGATTTAGACTTCATAGAAAACGAAATTTATTGAACACCACAATAAAATTTGCATTTATTTAAATCGCCTAATTTTCTTTACAGTTAAATTTTTATAAGAGTTTATTGGCATTAAATAGAGAATAAGAAAATAAAAAAACCTTTTATCTTTTTATTTTGTTCCTGTTTTAATAATCTAATTTAAATATTATTTTAGCATTTTAAATATTTAAATATATGCAATTCTTGTTGGTCTGTTTGGTTTGGAGCTTTGGCTACCAACTAAAAGGTCTTTGATTAGAGTCTTGCATATATGATATGTGTCTAAGTTTGCCTTAATTAGCCTGATTGTCCTAAAAATATAAATGATATATTCTCAAAAAATTATTTTGATCGAGCACGAATCTCGAGGCAATATCAAGCCGAACTTCAAAAATTAAATCCGGGAGCACCTAAATTCCAATTTCAATGAGCTTATAGTCAAACTGAGCGTCTCGGAAATACAAATCCAACGACACCAAACTCAACTCAATCCGAGCCCAAATGAGTCCAAATCAAGCACCCAAAATGTTGTTAGAAAGTTTATACCACAATTTGAGTTACCAAACAGTCTCCGATTTTAACAAGCTTATAGTCGAATCGAATGGCTCGACGAGACGAATCCAACAAGTTCAAGATCTCCGAAATTCCGACATCATTAAGACCAAATGTCTGACAAATGGTGCATGATCAAGGGATTCAATATCAACCGTCCATTCGACCACTTCCTATCTGCCCCAGATCTCACACCTATTTACGAGCTATGCCACTCCAAAAAATCTATAAATAGGCCTCTTATTTTTCATGAGAGGGGACCCAAGCAAGAAGGAGAGAAGAAGAAGAGAAGAAGATAAGAGAAGCATAGGAGGGAATAGCTCCTCCTCGACCACCATCGAAATTCTTCCCGCCGCCTGAACAACACCGGAGTTCGGTCAGACACTCGAGTGATGCCGTAATTCTTCCCAAGCAATATAAAAGTCCTGCTCGATGTTGGATTTCAGTACGACTTCCGCACGACACCTGAATTCTGCCCAATTTCCTTAGTGACGTCGGAACTCTGCTCGACTTTGTAATTGAATTTCAATTCAGAAGAAACTCACTGTAATAT